AGCAATTTTTCAAAAACTCTTCCAAAACATAAACTAGAAAGGAACACTTAATTACTCATTCTATGAAATCAGTATTAGCCTGACACCACAATCAGACATAGATATCCCAAAACAGCCCTAAAAACCAATATCTCTTATGAATATAGATATACAAATCCTCAGCAAAATACTAGCAAAGAATATCCAGCAATACATGAAAAGGATTATACACCATGGCCAGTGTGATTTAGCTCAGGATTGTAAAGGTTGGTTTACTACCCAAAAATCAATAAATATTAACATACCATATTCATAGAATTAAGTACAAAAAAACTACAGCATTCTCTCAATAAAAATGCATAAAAACATTTGACAGAATTTAGCACCTATTAATTATAAAAACACTCAACAGACGAGCAGTACAAGGGCACATCAATATGATGAAGTTCATTTATGAAAAACCCACAGCCAACATTTTTGAAAAGTAGAAAGATTTCCCCTTAAGACAACAAGAGAAGCATATCACTTTCATTTCTGCATATCATTGTACTGGAAGTTCAGTCCAGGGCAAAGAGGCAAGAAAAGATCATTGAAAGGTATTCATATTGGAAACGGAAGAATGAAACTATGTGAGATGACATGATACTATATAGAACAATTTTGAGACTCCATCCCCAAACTAGTAGAACTATTATTAAGTTTAGCAAATTTGCAGGACACAAGCTAATTATGTAAAAATCAGCTGTATTTCTGTCACTGGCAATGAACAATCTTCAAAAATGAGACTGAAGAATCAATTCCATTGAAAATTGCATCAAAAATAATGGAGTGTCAAGGAAGTGCACTGAAAATGGAAAACTACACGATATTGTTGAAAGGAATTAAAGAAGATCTAGACAAGTGATAAAGCTATCCTACTTTCATGAGTTAGAAAACGTTTTGATTGTTAAGATGATAGAACTCGCCAAATTGATTTACAGAGTCAGTACATTCACTATCAGGATCGCTGCTGACTTGTTTGTAGAAACTGACAAGCTAATTCTTTTTTCTTTAATTTTATTTATTCATTCATTTATTTTAATTTGACCAGAGGGAGACATACACAGAGAGAGAGAGAAAAAGAGAGAGAGGGAAAGCAAGAAAGCAAGTCACCAGGTCTGGGACTCAAACCATGGTCAGCCATCTGGGAATGTCCAGCACCTTAACCACCATGCCACCTGCTGGTCCCCCTGATAAGCTAATTTGAAAATTAATTTGGAATTGTAAGGGACTGAGAATGGTCAAAACAATATTAAAAGAGAATACTAAAGTCAGAATACCCATACTTCTCAATTTCAAAACTTCTTACAAATTTATAATAATCAAGACAGAGATAGTTGTATAGATCAGTAGAACAAAATCGAGAGTCCAGAAATAAATTTCTCATTTAAGGTCAGTCGATTTCTGACAAGAGTGTTAAGACGAGTCAATGGAGAAGGCATAGCAGTTCTACGAATGATCCTGTGACAATTGGACAAACATACCAAAAAATGAAATGAAATTGAACTCATTCTTCACATACTGTATAAAAATTAACTCAAAAGGGATCAAAGACCTAAATGTAAGAGCTCAAACTCTAAAAACTTGGAAGAAAACATAGAAACAGATCTTTATGGCTTCTTGGATATTATCCCCCAAAGCACAAGGAACAACCAAAAAGTAGGTAAACTGAATATCAGCAAAATAAACGCTCTGTGCTTCCAAGGGTCCCAGTAAGAAAGTGAAAGAACAATCTGAAGAATGAGAGAAAAATATTGCAAGTCGTGTATTTTATAAGGGACTTGTATCCAGAACATACAATGAACTTCTATTATTCAGTAATAAAAAGAACCCTATTTAGGAATGGGTAAAGGGGGACCAGCAGGTAGCATGATGGTAAAGGTACAAGTCCTGGAACTGGTGGCTTGCTTTCTCTCTCTCTCATATTTCTCTGGTCAAATTAAAGTAAGTGAGTGAATAATAATAAAAAAAGAATGGATAAAGTATCTAATAGACAGTTCTACAAAGAAGATATAGAAATAGCCAATAAATATGTGGAATGATGCTCATTGTTATTAGCTACCAAGGACATGCAAATTAAAATTGTGATAATATGCCACTTCATACAAACTACTAAGGCTATAATTTTAAAACTCAGATAACAAATGAAAATCTCTGATAAGGAACTGGAAGGATTGGGACGTTCCGGTACTGCTGCTAGGATTATGAAATGCTGGCTATTGCTTTGGAAAGCAGTCTAGCAGCTCCTCTTAAACATGGAGTTACCACATATTGCAACAATTCCACTTCTAGGTATAAGCCCAAGAGAAATGAAAATCTATGTCTAGAACAAAACTTGTACATCCATGTTTATAGCAGCATTATTCACCTTAGCCAAAAAGTTATACCAAGCTGAATGTCCATCAATGATGAATGAATACCCAAAATGTGGTATAGACATACACTGGAATATTACTTGGCAATAAACAGGAGTAAAGGATTAATATAAGCAACAACATGGGTGAACCTTGAAAACACACTAAGTGAAAACAAGCCAGAAAGAACCACACACTAATGAGTCCATTTACATGAAATGATTAGGATAGGCAAATCTATCAATGAAGCAATAGAATATAGAATGATGGTAGCCTCTGGCTGAGAGGTGGGTGCTATAGCTGGTAAGAGTGATGGCTACGTGGTGTGCGGTAATGAAATATTCTCAAATTGATTATGGCAATAGATGCATAGTTTCATGACTACAGTAAAAACCATCAAATTTTACCCTTTAAATGGGTGAATTGTGTGAGATAATAATTGTATTTCAATGAAGTTGTTAAAAAATGAGTTAGATAAATAGTATGAAAAGCCAGACTCCTTTATAGAAAAATCAGTATAAGTTGTTATATTTCTAGGACGTCTATCTTTAATTTAGGCACATTATACATGCCATTCTCCTTAAGGCATTGTAGTTAAGACTCCAGATGGAATAAAATGACCTGACATTAGCTACTATTTCTTTACATACATACAAAATGAAACAATAAAAAGTAGCAATCAGAGGATCCAAACTGAAGTACATTTTGGTGAAAGGGGATGATTTGACAAGCCACCTGCATTCTTGTGTTCCATTCTTTTGTTAAGCTGGGTAGGCGTTTCTGTCTGGTTTTATCATCATTTTGCCATGTATATATATGTTTATTGCAATATCAGGTAATACTTAGGTATTATTAAACATGTATATACTGCATCTATTTGCCCTTCAATCTTTAAGATTTACGGAATAAACATTATTAAATTAATAAAATGGCACGATTCCATCAAACTATCAAGCTAAAATAAGATGTCTGGAAATGCAAATACCTTGCTCAATAATTTCCTGTTCTAATTTCATATTAGGTACCTTCATAGCAAAGGAAAGTCTTTTAGGTGAAAGTAGTCATTTTTATGATCATGTATATTCTTCTTAGTGTACTCATCTTCATTTTATTCCATACACATGGATTAATTCTCTCTCTCCAATTACTTTGTACTAGGCACGGTTCAATATTAATAGTAGTAGGGCGTTCACATCGAAGTCACACCTTGTTAAGCAGAAGTGTAACCTTTTATGAGGAAGGAATCCGTGTTTGCTGATTGCTGATGAAGAGATAGCATGCCCATTGCTTTACATACGGTGTTGAGACCTCACAGTAATCCTCTACTATAGATTTTATTATTATCAGTTACTAGAGGAAAATCTGAGCCTAGGAAAGGTAAACAACTCGCTAAGGTCATAGAACAGGAGTCGAAATATTTGTCTGTCCCTAAAGCTGATTTTCTTTGTCCAACAGTGTGTTTTATGGCATATGCAGGGCACACCAGCTCCCTTGGTGTGCTACCAAGCGTCTTTCTGGGTCAGTCAGATTTCAGCAATGAGAAAGCACTCTAACCTTACCTACAAACCTTTACAAAAATGGAGCATTTGGCCTACGCAGCCGATGGTCCCCACAGTGACTTTTTGTTGTTATTTTCAAAGACTTTCCTTACTCCACTAAAAAGCAATGGTGATGCTGTCAAAGGGTTCTAATATTAGCAGCTGCCCTACATCTTTCAGATTCTCTTACCTGTTCTGTGAATGCAGATTATTACCAGTATTATTCTCTCTTTTTAAACATTTTATTTGTTGTTATTATTATTATTTTGTTTGCTATAGTGCACATGCATTCACCAGAGAAAGGCAGACAGAGAGGGAATGAGAGAGAGAAAGATATGGAAAGTGAGAAAGCAAGCCATCAGGTCTGGGACTCAAACTGTGGTCAGCCATGTGGGAATCCAGTGCCTTAACCACCGCCTGCTGCCCCTAGTATTATCCTCTTGTTTTACTTTTGTTACATATTTATCCAGCTAGTTATGATAATAAAATCTACATAAGAATAAACAAATTATTTTTTTTAAACTTCCAGAGGGTGTATACACTTACCAGGGAGAGACAGAGAGACGTGTGGGAGGGGAAATATCTCCCAGTAGGGTGTGGTCACACTATAATCCTTTCTCTTCTATTTCTCCATCCTATTAGGAATTGGGTACACTCACATATGCACCCAACATGCTTTTCAAGCTGCCAGGGCCAGGATTCGAACCACAGTTGGCTATATGGGATCTGGCTCCCTTCAGCCCTAGCTTATAGGACCAGTCCAAGAACAACTTTTTTATACATTAAATCTTTTATTTTTTTGCTTTTTAAATTTCATTTTCTTTTATACATTCAATCGCATTATTTAGCTTACAAAGTGAATATTTCAGTAAGTGAATATTTCTTCCTAGTCCAGATGCATATCTTAAATCTTCAAGCAAATATCAGAATGGAGATTGTACGGTGCTCTTTATCTAACACAATGCCCTACATGATATGGGGCTAAGTGACTATGCAACATGTACTTGTAACCACTACTTCATGTAGCTTCTGTTGATAACTAGGATTTATTTCTTACCACTTCAGCATGATCAAAAGAAGTGCTCCGTACCTCACTGTTGAGTTTGTTGATCTGCTGCTTGGTTTCCTCTGCTTTGATGAAGAGAACAGCAGCTCCAAGCTCCGGGTCTGAAAAGTGACACACACATAATGAGACCTTGAGGAATAAACTGCCTTTGAAGACTGGGGCAACTCAAATGCAGAAAGAAGCCTAAGCTAGCACCCTCTTTTTTCCTGCTGTCTGGGCAGTGTAGATTCTGCCTGCCCCAGGCCAGAGAGGCTCCTTGTAGTACTCTGCATGATGCCTGACAGACTCTTTGGAAAGAGGTACACATCATAGTGGCGACCGTGACCTCAGCAACTAAATATGTCCATTGGAAATCTCCCATTCCCACAAACGCAATTTCCACCATGTTCCAAGATGGCACATTTGTTTTTTCTTTGACCATGCTTTAAAATGCATCCCAGTTAGTGCCCAAACCATGGAACGAGATGTTCTTTTCCTCCTTCTTCTTTTATAAACGTTCATCCGTATGCTCTTGAGGACATTTTCATTTCTCATCTATTTCAGGTACTGATCTCCAGGTTCCTGTCTTGTCGTATGCCACTCTAAAAGGCAAATTGTCCCATTTCCTACTTCTTCTCTCCTTTGGCTCAGCTTTGCTCTCACAAAGGTTTTTATTTCTGTCAGTGACAAAAGTATGAGATGAGTCAGTGCTAGCTGGACTGGAAAAGATTTGGTAGAATGATATGACCATCTGAATTCTGGTGAAATATGAATAAAAAAAATGTTGTGTGGGAAGAAAAGTCATTCAGAACAGTCCAAGGCAGAGTAGTGAGAACTCATTTTGCAGAGAGATTTTGCAGTGATCATTCATCCAGTCAACAGATGACTGCAGTTTATGAATATATACCATAGGCCAGCTCTCCTTTAGAGGCAACAAAATGAATAAAGAAAATATAATTGACCCTTATAGAGATTAGGATCTTGCAAGAAAAAGAGACATATAAAATAATTATGGAGCCAACTGGGGATGTGGTAGTCAAGGCACTGGGTCCCACGTGATTGATAGTATCATTTGAATTCCAAATCTATGACTTGAAAAACTTGCTGCGTGGGTGTGCTTGCATGCCCAAATCCAAAAAGAAGGGAGTAGAGGAGGAGAAGGGATTGTAGCATGACCATGCCCCTTCACGAGGACTGCTTTCTCACTTTCGCTTGCTCTCTTTTCTGTCTCTCTCCTAGTGAGTGTATATATTCTCTAGCAAAAAGAAAATTTATCCAGTAAGTTTGGATTTCATACAAAGAGCAATGGAAAGCCTTTTCAAAATTTTAAACACAGGAGCAGAGTAATGCAAACAAGTTTGCAGAAGAAAAATAGGCAAAGCATTAATGGGACAAAGATATGTGGTATTATCTGTTGAAGATATTTTATAATTTTATTAACTTGACTGGGGAGAAATATTCACCTGTTGAAATATTCATTTTGTAAGCTAAATAATGTGATTGAGTGTATAAAAGAAAATGAAATTAAAAAATGTGGAAAAAAAAGAGTTTACTCCACTTGGAAACCCTGTGAGAACATAGCAAACACTTCAGTAACAATTCAGGAACGTAGCCAGGAGCAGACCTGGTGGCAGTAAGGATACTGAGTAGATAGATCAAGAAAATACATTGCTGTAGTGAGTAAGCATAGTGGTAGGTAATGGGGTAAGGAAGAGAAGAAAGCTAATAGGGTTTGGGAACCAGAAATAGTTGAATGGATGCAGTGAGGTTCAGTGTATTGTCTTCAGGTGAGCCAAAAACAAACAAACAAACAAACAAAAACCTTTCAGGTGAGACCCACCATTAGCTTTCATGGCAAATACGCCAGTTAGACTTTGACTATTACTTCTTGAATTCATGCTCCAAGCAGAGTAGTAGCAACAGATGTAAGGCAATCTGATTAGTGAATCAGGATTGTACCCCTTTTCCTCTTGCATCCCCACCACCACCCTGCAATAAAGACCCTCCAGTTTCCCCAGAAGATGATAAGTGTTGGAAAAGATTGTGACTTAGATGAAAAACTGATATTCTGCCAAACAGACACACATCCGTAAGCCTGTATGTTCAAATGTCTATGGTGTCCTTAGTTCTATCCATAGGAGAGGTTTCTAATTAGCAAGAGATACCAAGACGAGGGTCTCAGAATTTGGTAGTAAAGGGAAGAGACAGTGGGCATTGTTGGTCTTGTGTCTGGTAGTCAGCTGGTAATTGCTGTGTGTTGTCTGTGTCTATTTAACACTTGTTCTCTGTTCTCTCTTTTTCAGCTAAAGGAGTCATTTCTTGCCTTTATCTATTGACAGACTAATTTTTATGGGCAGTGCATTCAAGTTTAGAAGGAAGAGGAACTTGGGCTAGGGACGGGGTAGCTGCATTAATCCACTATCACTAGAGGTTAATGTTCACAGTTTCTCATTTCCAATGTGCTTTCAACCTTCTGAAGTTGTTTTTCCTGTGACAAACTGCAAGAACATAGCCTCACACCAAATTAATTGGTTAAATATAACCAATGTAGTGCACAAGCATGGCACTTCCTCTAGGTAATGTTTTTGTGGATTAGTCTGAGTTTATAATAGGAAAACATGGTTACCCTCTGATAAATAGCAGACATTTGAGCCTTCTGATATATCATTGACCTTGCCTGCTAAATTGCAGGACATCTAGTCTGGACAAAAGAACAATTACAAATGATATTCTAGTAACTCGGAGATTGCAGACTCAAGTCAGATTAGTCATTGGCACTAGTGAACTTCTATCACATGGAAAATGTTCTAAGAAAGAAAAAGCATAAATAAATAAATAAATAAATAAATAAAGCTCATCCCAATGCCAAACAAGTCTTTTAACAAGTTAACAAAAATACTACCCTTTTAGACAACAAAAAAAATGGAGCTTACCTCCAAGAGGAGGAGAAATTCTAGGCTCCGGCCTGATGCGTTCAGAACCAAAGTCAAAAGTTTGACTCTCTTCACTGCTGTTTCCATCTTCAATTCCATCAACAATCCTATTTAAAATAAAGCAAATCATTTGTGTTAGTGCATTTAGATTTATGGGTTCCAGTGTTTCTAAACCTTTTAAAATACTGTGTTAAATTTTTGACACTCTACAGCTATGCTATTCAAGATGGTAACCATTAGCCTTATAATATAGCTATTGAGGACCTGAAATACAGTTAGCACTAACTGAGATGTAGTGAAAGATAAAACATACACTGGATTTTGAAGAACTAGTGTAAAATGAGAAAAAGAAAATTTATGAACTAGTTTTGTATTATTCCCATTTAAAATGGTAATATTTGTAACATATTGGATCAAATAAATGTATTATTAAAAATTAATTTTATTCATTTTTTTCACTTTTTTAAAATGTGGCTGCTATAAAAATTTAAACAATTTTGACTCACATCATACTTCTATAGAGCAATAGTGCTATGTATATTCTTAAATTCAAACTTTAAGAATCAGAAATTCTTGTTTTTTTCTTTTCTTTTTTTCCCCCAGAAAGGTTTTTGCTATAGGGCACATGCGCTCACTGGAGAGACAGAGACAGATAGTGAGACATCACTCCCAGAGGGGATGGCTGCATCACGATCCTTTCTCCTCCATTCTCCCCTTGGGATCTTGGGCATGCAAGCACACATGCCCAGCATGAGTTTTCAGCTGCTGGGTCCAGGACTTGAACCACCGGCAACTATATGAAAGTCCAGTGACATAACCATTATGCCATCTGCTGGTCCCCCCAAATCCTCTTTTATAAATGTATATTAATCCACTATTGAGTCCAGGAGAAACTGTTTAATAATTACAGTATTATAGAAAATAAATTTGATGATACCATTCTAGACTTGGACAAAATGCTAGTGTGAGTTAAAGAATTATAATAAATTAATATCAGGCTTTCACTAGTCTTCTTTCCTTGACCAATAATATCTAACCCACTCATTATTTTTTAAAAAAATACAAGTCCATTGTAGAAAATTTAAACATAAAGGCAATAGAAATGAGAAGATAAAAATCACATATAGTCTATCACTGTCGACATTTTGTTACATGTTTTTAAGATCCTTTTCTCTATATCAAAGAATATGTATTCTTTTAATATACAGAGAATCATATTATATATAAACCTTTCTTTCTCAGTTCTGATACATTCTCTTCCTATTTAAAATAATTATTTTTCATTGTAGTAAACATTTAGGAAAAAGAAAAGTTACTGTTTTCAAATCCCCATCTCTGACTTCTTGAATTCATAAAAATCTAATGTGTATCTTTTATTAAGTTTTTCTTTTTTTCCTTTCTTTTGTGAGCAAAAGACAGAGAGAGAGAGACAGAGACAGAGACAGTACCCCCAATGGAGTCTTAACTCTGTTGCCCACTCCCAACTATGGCCAGGTATGGGCATATATATGCCCTGTGTACTCAGGGAAGTCTCCAGATGTGAACCCGGAACCTTCCCATGTGGGCCAGCCTTACAGAGCATCCCGTTTGCATCGCATTACTGTCCAGACCCTTGTCTACTTTTCAATAAAGTGCTCTATTTGTTCTCTTAGTAAATATGTTGTGCTCTTCAAATGAAAAATGTATTGTTTATCAGGAAGATCACTTGCTTAACAAGTAGAAAAACAAATAGAATCCAACTTTAACTACTTATTATCTCTGAAATTTTGGACAAAGTATTTAACCTTCGAGTTTCAGTTTTTACAACTTTACAGTAGAGATAATATGAACTACTTTATAAAATTATCAGAAGATTAAATGCAATAATGATTCTAAATGCAATAGTGGAAGTGAAATTACCCAGGAAAGTACATGATCATAGCAAGTACTGAGTATTTTTCTTGTTTCTATTTATTATTTAGCTGTTGTGTGATTTTGATTATTACTTTTCTGATTATTATTGACTCTTTCACTTTTTCTGAGTCATGAGTTTTCATCTTTTCAATCATTTTTAGGTATTTCTAAGGTAATGTATTTAAAATAAAAAATAGAGCTATTCAATGTTACCTACTGAAGACACCAGAAATAAAACTAAGTTTCATCCATCCCCAATAATAAGGCAAATAGCATGGAAAATAAAAATTGGTACTTTATTTCTTTCAAAATTTCAATTTGTTGCTCTGTGAAACTTTTGGTAAGATCAAGCTTCTAGAGGATAATGTTGATGAACTTTGTTTTATGTCCCTTATTTTCATTGTAAATTTATAAATTATAAAATTGCAACATAGAAATATACACTTTATATACTCATCAATGGATAAAAGGAGTAGAGAAGGAATTCTGAACATTTAATGGACCTTTTTGAGACTAGAACTAAAATGATTTATTCCCATAGAACACATATACTAAAAACATTGCACAGAATATTAAATAGCCGAAGAAACTAGGTTAGGAACCTGTGCAGTAGAAAGATCCATAAGATTAATAATTTGGGACCAGCAGATGGCGTAATGGTTACTTTGCTGAACTCCCACATAGTTGACCATGGTTCGAGTCCCAGACACAGTGGCTTAAACTCAGAGCATATGTGCATGTGTGCCCAGGATCCCAAGAGGAGAATGGAGGAGAAGGGATTGTGGCATGGCCATTCCCCCAGGAGGTGATTTCTGTTTCTCTGTGTCTCTCTGGCAAGCGTACATACCCTATAGCAGAAAGAATAACTTTTAATAACTTGATAGGCAAGTATTATTCTGTATAAAAAGCAACCACTTTTACCTGGGTGGTATGATGTGAATTCTTACCTTGGACTAAGATCTGGGGGTCCAGCACTATTCAAGGTTGAAAGTTGCAATTTCAAGTTCTTCTCTTTTCTTTTGCCATGGTTAGAGGGGTCAGTTTCCTGTTTGGTTTTTGGGGAATTTGAACTGGAAACTCTGATGGGTGAGTGAAATGGCACTGTTCCTGATGCCAGTTGCTTTAAGCTTAAGCCTAAATAGCTTTTATTGTTTCCAGTCTTCTTACTGCGTGAAGATGAGGATCTTCTTGTATAGATGGGAGAGAGAGAGGTCGTCTCCTCTTCTTCTCCCTCCTCCTCTTCCTCATCTTCCACAATAGACGGGAGTCTCTTGTTAATGCTGCCATTTCCCTTGGGCTCTGTCTAAATCAGTGAATAATATAGATTAGTACAGATGCAAAGCCCTCTTTAGAGGTCTATCATTCATAGTGGAAGTCTCATTTGAACCAAGTCAAATCCTTTAGAAACTTCTCTTCATTAAAATGAAATTCTTCGTAGATTTTGTTACTGTTTTTTTCAGGTTAAAAGTTTCCCCACTTCTGATATCCTCCAGGTTCAACCTCTTTGTGCTTTGTGGGTTTTAGTCTATACCCCTTTTCTTGTTCTTGATGGGAAGCTAAGTGAATGATGCATTTGAGAAGGTTTAGATCTATATTTTAATCAGCCTGCCACTTTTAACAGTGTCTACTGGAAATGTTCTTAGGAATAAAGACATTTCCAGTTTTAATAGAGGGACTTGAATCTTATTTAAAATTACAAGCTCATTAGTGGAACTTCATGTGGATATCAACAAGCAAAACTATTATTGACTGCAGCTTCAGGAGAACACAGAGTAAAACAAGGAGTTGTTCCTAGAGTTCCTGTCACAGGTTTACTGGCGATAAGTCTAGCTAATAGAGTTGACACGTTTCTCTGAGAAAAGTTTTCTGTGAAACTAGAGGGTATGAAAGATGAGACTGGGGGATGGCAAGTGGTGCAGTGGTTAAGCTGCTGGACTCTGACATTGCCAACCACAGTTTGAGTCCCCAACCTGGTGGCTTGCTTTCTCACTTTTCCTTTCTCTCTCTCTGTCTCTTTCTGGTTAAATAAAAACAAATAATAATAATGACAAATAAAATAAAATAAGTCTTTTTTAAAAAAGATGAAACTGTCTTAAATGCTCAAGTAAAACTACTTTCAGAATGTCTCCGAACCATATTTTTAACATTGTGGATACTTACAAGAAATTGGACACTTATAAGAAAAACTAGACTACCATCATTAAACACTGAAAGTACTTCTAAAATCAACAGCTCAGGGCATCACTACTTTTCTCAGGTTTTGGAAACAAAGCCCTTTATAACAATAACCATAAAACACTTCCAAAAGTATGAGTTTCAATCCTTCTCCATACACAAACTTAAGAAAGTCAGTCACCACATCTTTGGGAAGTACATTCAGGAAAGTTAAGCATAAATACAAAAAATACATGAGACATTTATTGGAAACCCTCCATATGATATTAGATAAATATTGTGCTATTTAAGCAAAAGCCATACCTGTGAGACCGTAGATTTGTTCGATAATCTTGATATCACCTGGAAGAACACAGAAGTTTTAACAGTCATCTAAACCTCTCCTGGTTGGTTGTAACTGAGTGCAATTAGAAGGCAGTGGAAAGGAAGAATTGCTGTTTGAGTGATGGCGATGGTGGTGATGGTGCTTATCAATCTACTTGTGGAGGCTGGAGAAGAGAAAATACCTTCTGAAAGGTGCTGAGAACTCCCACATCCCACCCTCTAGGATTTCTTTTGACCAATGAATGAAATAAAGGAGCAACAAGCAGAATGCCTACCTAGAAAATAATTTTCAAAGCGGATGAATTGGCTGGATTTTCCATCTTGGTACTTTACCATCTTTCTATCTTTTTGTTTTCCATTTCCTTACTCCTTTTTCTTGCTTTTTGCTAAATTTTCTCATCTTCCTTTTTTTTTCTTTTATCTTTGGGAAAATATTAACCATATCATCTTTTCTTATTTATTCTTACTACTTTCTGTGTATTTACCTCCCCTTCTTGCTGGAATATCAGTGAGGTGATGTCTCCTTCCAGAACCATTGATTTTACCACCATCATATGGTAGGACTAGAATTAAATTTACTGGGGATTCTAATTCTCGATTTTACGTTCTAAAATCCCACTGACTGCAAAAAACTTAATAATGCGACCAGTCTGATTGTACATGCTATCAATTATAAGACAGATCTCAACTTTGAAAATGATAAAATGTGAGAGACTACTACTATGCAGTAATATCTTAAAAAAGCATCTTCCATGGTATACAGAAAAGTTCTGAAAATTACGGTATGCTCTGAAAACATGCTTCTGATATCCACATTGTTTTTTGCTCAAATACACTTCTTTCATTTTAATATGGTAATAAATGCTATAAATTAACATAATTTTATTCACATGAAAAAATTTGCACTTGAAAATTATCTGCCTGGTAAGCCAGACATATTTAGTAATTCTGTCACCCTCTCGTCATTTTTTTCCCCTAGATGATTAGGGAAATAGATTTGTTATTATTTTTACAAATGCCAGAACCATAATTGCTGTGCAAATACATGTTTCATCAATGTTTAATTTTTATCATAGCAGTCAACCCATTTGTCTAGATGCCTCAATATGCATTAGTCAGATGCATTTTAGACATAAGTTTTGTGATAATCCCCCAAATATTGACAAATAAAACAGCTCAATAGTTAACAACGAGAAATATAAAATGAAATGGTGGTGCTCTTGAGACCGTGGTAGACAAAATGATGTGTTTCTAAAAGTCTTTCAATTACAGTTTGCATTAGGGAA